AGCCAACTCAGATGACCCCTTTTTCGTTGGTATATGGCACAGAAGCAGTCCTCCCAGTGGAAATTGCCATACCCTCAGCTCCCATGGCCCTCTGAAGTGGAACTATCCCGAACTCCAGACTGCCAGAGCTGGAATTCGTTGATGAAAGAAGGGACAAAGCCCAGGCTAATTTTAAAGTTTACCAGAGCCGTATAACTAGAGCTTCTGATACTCTGGTATGCCCGAGACTGTTCCAAGAAGGTAATTTAATGTTACAAGTTGCACCTCACATCATGAGGGAAATATCAACCCACAAGTTCACACCCAAGTGGCAGGGTCCTTATGTAATAAGGGAAATCAATGAAAATGGCTATTATAGAATTTCTAAGCCTGACTCTCAAACACTCCTAAGCCCCATCAATGCAAAATGGTTAAAGGCTTACTATCCTTAGAAATTACTCACTGCTATATGATGTATTACACTAAGATGTATTGTGCCCATTCGGGCTTCTTCAATGAATATCGTCGTTTTCCATACTTATTCTAACTGTAATCACAAATAATAAAAGAAAATGTGAGTTAGCTAAATGTAAAGTTGGCTCCATTAAGTAGTTAAAGATTTTCAATTACAAAAAAAAAGAAAAGAGGAAGCCCAAATCTCCAACATACAAAAAAAGTTTTAGACTATCATATAAGTTTTAGACTATCATATGCTACAAAGCTATGATCCAACTAAATCAAATCAAGACTCTGGAAGCTTGATCTTCTCCCCCCTGTCCTTCTCCTTCTCCCGCCAATCTTGCTTTAAGAATCGCTTTCTTTTTCCTCAAGCTCGAAGTCACCAACTCTGCTTCATTCAAGGCTTTCTATGCTCTCCCAAAAGATAGCTTACATTCCTCCTCCACTCGCACAGTAGCAACCAAAGCCTTATCTACCTCGCCTAGCTCAACCTTAGCTATCCTATCCTCCTCCTGACCCGTGACTCAAGAAGAGATAACCAATCATCCAGCCAACCCATCTCCAATTTGTTAATCTGACCGTCTCGAAATTTGCCCAAAACATTACGTTAAGCCAACACCTCATCAAGAGAAAATTTCTCCGGTGACAACTTGTAAAGCTCCTTAAGGAATTCTCCAATACCGTCCAAAAGTAAGTCCGAAGATAGGAGCTACTCAAGTGCATGAAAGTGGTGGGTTTATAATGAAAAACAAAGAGTAGTCGAGGAATTAACTCTCCTTTCACGCCAGCAAACAACACAGTTGGATCCAGTAACTTTTCCTTCCCATCAATCCCTCTAAGAATCACACTGCCACAAGGAAAGTGAATAAGGGAAAAGTCTCCATCAGTAGCATGAATAAGATAAAAATCTCCATCAATAGCTGGCGGTGATGGATTTTGAAGGCTACCCCCAAGATCACTAGCACCATTTTGAATAAAGCCAAACAATTCATGTACGAGCACACCACCCAAGTCTGAACCCACTGTAACAATAGATGAGTTGACTCCAACTTCAGAGCTCGCAAGAATGTTGGGCACATTACTCTATAGGCTCACAGAGGTCACAGAAGCATGTAAAGAAATTGGTGCAGAAGAGCCAACGCCACATGACAAGCTCACGGCTATATTCATATTTCCAACTCGCGAGCTAGGCACATCACTATGTGAAAAACTACAACCACCTTCAAACAAGCGACCAATAGGGACACCACCTCCAATCTTGGCCCACAAAGGAACCAATGCATCCCTAGAATTCGATGCATCTAACAAAGAAGGCCTGGCACTAACCACGTCACATCCAACATCGTCTTCGACATCGTCTTCAACATCATTCCTTTCCTCCATAATTTCAAGACTCTAGTCTGAACTCTCTTCATCTTCCTCTAAATTTTCTATATCATCCTCAGTACTCCCTGACCGTCTATAAGCATAAAGTCTTGCCTTGCTTTTACCCATCTCAGAAGTGGGAACTATCGATGGAAAATCACTAATTTCCGAAAGGCACTCCGTTCTCAAATCCATAGTGGTGTCACCAAGAACATCAATCCTTTCGGGGGATCTGGACGGATTGGGAGGCCACTATCATGAGACCCACCTTTATCGATGGGCAAGACCTTACGCTACACTAATTTTATCTGACACACGCCAGCCGACCCTTGCAAACATTACAAGTATTTTAATACAAACATATTACAGACGCTACAAATATGCAAATAATTTCAAAATGCGAAACGTGAGTTTACCTAAGACGAATCGATGATGTCACTCGAGCGACCCCTCGCTTAACGAGCAATCCTGGTATTAGTAGGCGAATCTATAACACTGGCCTTCAGAGATACTCTCCCAGTCATTGGAACAAGAACAGAAGTAGGAAACAGTCTTTTATGCTTGGCACAAGAGGGATAGTCAAGAGAAACTATTTGGGCTTGCTCCAAAGCAATAGCTACCTCAGATAAGTGAGCTAGTGGGCTAAGCTCCCCTCTATCTGCAGCTAACAAGCCCCGCTCTCTGCGAGCCATACACAACTCAAGGTCGTCAGACATGATAAGCTCTACATGCACGGGCACAAGATCGCTACTTAAGAAATTTCGAAATGATATAAGATTGCATCTCCAATACTTCCTCCAACTAGGAGTAGTTCTGCCAATTCTATCCTTATTCGCTAGCACAACTTGAACCCAACGCTATAATTCTTCTAAAAAAAACGAGTACACATACAATTACATACAATCGGCTGCAGAAGGCATAGGGGAAGGAAGATGTTGAGAAATCCCTTGGTCTAAACCAAATTGTCGAGTGACCCTTAGAGGATTATAGGCTGCCACACCGTATATGCCATCCACAAAATAAGGTAAATATCCAGAAACAGTGCTAAGAACCATCACTGAATCTGCATCCCCCAAATAAGACACACTTAGTTCAAGAACAAGCTCGCAATTATCTGGGTGGTAGGCAATGGTAGAAGATACTCCACAAACTGGCATGACATAAGGACAAGAAATAAACTTGTCCTCAAAATCAAAGATGCTGGCCAAACTCCCCTGTACACATCCCTCAACCCATCTAGCAGAACGCGACTCACTTTCTTCAATGGGAAATACCTTTGGCATAGGGGCAAAGCTAGGAAATCTCTCATACAAAAATAATTGCAGAAAGGTAGTGGAGAGGAAGCTACAAATAGAGAACTTCACAGATCTCAACATGGGAGAAGAAAAAGCTTCCCGCAACAATCAGCCAAGCATTCCCCACAACACTCCGCTCAACATCCTCTTCTTTAACACTAAGGGCGTCGCTCACCCTAACTTCATCCAACACTACATGCACCTACACTCTTATAGACGTTTCGACCTTGTCATCATTACGAACAAGAAACATAAAGAAAATGAAGCCCAGTTTATTAGTAAAATCATGGGCTACTCCAACACCAAGGCCATGGCCCCCCCTCTTAGTGGTATGGAAAGGGTGATAGGCAGAATTTGGTACCTACGGAATGAAGCTGAAATCTCCTGTGAAATGGTAAAGATTCCATAGAATCGAGCCATCATTCAACAAGCCCACATCATCATCCGGCCGGCTCGCACCGGATAAAACTTAAAATGTAAACTCTGCGTGAGCAATCCAAATTCCTCATTGTATCAAAAGCCTAATTTTAGATAACTCTATCTGAATACTTATCCGCATGAGCTGATATTTTCAAAACTTTTTAACACAGTCATGTACAAATACTCTCATTAGCTATAAGAGAATTTGTATAGGGGGGCGTTATTGTGGGTACTTGTATCAAGCCCAATACACGGCAAGCCCTACGGGTGCCACATCACCAAAACCCCACCTACATGGTAAATCAATAAGGCACCACGTGGGTATGTCATATGTTTGATACATGGCAAGCCCTACGGGTGTCGTGTGCCAAGGCAACACGCAAAACCAAGACTATATGCTTAGCCTAAATAGGAGCATTCATATAAGCTCAAATATACCTAAATATGAAAAGCCCTGCAACAGGCAGCACCATGTCCTCGTAGGGCCCATGGTCCTTCATATCTCGCTCCAAGACCAAACAACAATATAATCAACCCCCGGTTCACTTGGACTTGGATTGATAAACACTGGCTCTCCTAGACATTGAGATAGGCCCGTGGTCCATTCTCCTACTTGGTCACTTGGAAGCGAGCCCCTAGCTCTCCTAAACACCGAGGTGGGCCTTGGCCCATTCACCTACTTAAATGCCTGGGTTAGGAGCAGGACCCAGGCACCACTACTCGAGATCATCAGAGGATATTAGACTTGCAGCTGAGGTCATGGGATCATCGAGATGGTTGTTTTCTTACTTAAGACAACTCCATCTTGAGCCTGCCATGAAACGTTGCTCTTCGCCTGCCGTGAAACGTTGCTCTCCACCTGCCATCAAGCCACAGACGACAAAAGGGCTTATATCACTTCTAGCAGAGTTGAGGAGAATGAGCCACTTGTTTAACAATTTGCTTGGGCTCCAATACTCCTGTGGCCTATATAACGTATTGTATATGTAGCAAAACAACAACAATAACACAACTCCATAATTCTAACACACTAAGCCCCACACTTAAAACATCCCCTCTCACACTCTACATTAGTGTTCAAGGTCCATCACTACCAACCTCTCCCTCTCCAAGCTTGCCTTGACCTCCTCATCTCCACCTCCAGTGATCTCAGGCCATTGAAGTGCCTGCCATCTTCCTAGACTACCTCTAACCACACCTCTCACCCATACCATCCTATCAACAAGAAATGATGATCTAGTGATTGTAGCTTTTCATACGTAGAACTGAAGCTGCATTTAAAATTACATGTTTTTCAGATGAAATGGCAAATTCATTACAACCTTGCTGAGGTTTCATGCCTTTTTGCAAGATTTAGGTATTCCAGATAGAATCCCTTTTGTTGTAAGCTTGTGTCAATGTGCTTTTATAACATTGTTGGAACTCAGCATGCCATTCATGGTAGAAGATTTCATTGGTGTCTCTAGAAAAGAGAACCACTCTTGTTGCAAGCTCTCATTACCTCCTGACAAGGTTTGCATTATTGTGATACAAAATTTGCTATTTTTTTTCCTTTTTCTTTCTTCCTTCTTACTTGGTGTTTGTGTGTTGAGGAGTCTTGCACTTAAACCCTTGACTTCTTAACGAGAGACACAGAAATTTTGGTCAAATTTACTGACCTTTATCCAATGTCCGAAAAGTACTTATTTTTGCTTCAGTACAAGTAGTTTCAAATATTTTATCATATATGGTGCAATATTTGCCTATAAGGGTTATTCAATGTGCAGTAGCTTCTGTTAATTTAATTGACAATGAAATAGAGAGTTCAGCTCAGTTCAATTCATCAAGTAAATTCAAGCATGTCTTAGTCCTTGGATGCATTAACTTTAGGCAAGGCATCACCATTGCATATACCAATTTCTCTGTAAGGTGCTTTATTAGCTGACATCGCAGGCATTGGGTTCAAGCCAGGTACCAAACATGACCTTCTTCATAGGTGAAGACTAACTTCTCTGGTTCCACACTGTTGGTTTCTTCTCAGCCATTGTAGTCTTCCATTGGTTTCTGTTGATGGCTTTTGCATTGACCCATGGCCCTTGTTTTTGATGAGTTCCATTCTCTGTTACAATGAATTTGATTTTGTTAACGGTCTGTTGATCTTCTGGAAAAGCAATATCATCGGCAGACGTCACATCTTCCTGTACATTCGACATGGATTCTTCTATTAGATTAGTAACACTGTCATCAACAATTGATTTTGTTGCAAAAACATTCACCAGTTCCTCGTTTGGATAGATCATTTGCAGCTCGGTTAACTTCTGGGCCTCAGCATTCTCCCAATCTTCAGTAATGGTAATTGTGTTGTTTGTTTCCCATGTCTGGAAACGTCAGTCTGGGCCAGGTTGCCAGAAAATTTCCCCCTTGCTTCCTCTAAGTACATACTTGAATTGTGTTGACCTCAACACAGGTACATCCTAAACAAAATTCAGAATAAAAGTGTCAAAAATCACTTTGAAGGCAAAATTTATGGTACACAGTCTGGTTACAATGCAAAGTGCTCAAAATTACGACCCAACCACGTTGTGTCTCAACTCTAGTAACATACTGAATCCTAGAAGTGATTTTTGTCATAATTTTTGTGACAATATATAATTTGAGAGAGAGAGAAAGAGAGAGAGAGCAACTGAATAGCTCTGTATTGATCTATTAATTATGTGTGTAAGTTTACAAACAAAATGAGCTCTCTTTATAGGGAGAAGAGGGATACAATGGAGCACCGAAAGCATAAAGGGTACATTAAACAATATAAAGCTAAAGCTAAAGGTGTGGTAGTGGGTGTCTGCCTTTACAGCTACAATTACAGCTACAATGTACTATATATTATATATTAACAATTTTGACCACATCGCAATGTAAACGAAGAGGGATGCACACCATAGATTGACCTTGCATTCAATACAAATGAAAACTGTTGGGTTGGGTTTCCCTCCTATGGGGAGGATGGCCCAAAATATTGTTGATCTGAGATTTCCAAACAAAAAGTGTTCTTTCTGCAACTGAAATTTCACATGAACAGTCTTTGATGCCTCTGTAAAAGATTCCAACAAACCAAATGTTTATATAAGTAACTGTCATCTTATTCATACTTGGAAAAACTTCAAAAAAAAAATTTACGCATTGTTTGGATCCCAGCATTTGCAGTAGTAGAAACCTGTGTTTGGTTAACAAGAAACTGTTATTATATACAAATGGAAATACTGAGAAATTGGAAGAAAGAAGAGAAACGAAAACAATACCTCTGTTTTTGATAAAGGGACGCATTGAACTGTCTTCTTGAGTGGGATTGAGACGAGAATCAAAGATCCGAAGAAGTTGATCTGAGATTTCCCGAGAGGAGCTCTCGACAAAGGTAAGCTTTTGCTATCGAAGTTGTTTACAAGGATTCTAGTGGAAGATCTCGTTACTGCTTCCATCTCTGCAGATTCAGAGGTAGAGAGAGAGAGAGAGAGAGAGAGAGAGAGATGAATGATTTTGTGCTGTCTGTAATGAATATATATAACTAGAACGAGAGAGAGAGAGAGAGAGAGAGAGCTAGCATTGAGGAAAAATCTCAAGTCTGAAGTGGCATTCATCAGAGTGAGTTCTTTACTTGGGATTTCTTTCTTCAGTATATTTATGAGATTCGATCAATTCTGTTTGCTTTACATAGATCCTATTAAGTCCTTTTTCCTTGTGCTCTTTTTCAGGGCTTGTATTACTAGTTATTCTCTCTCTGTTTTCTGCTTCTACCACTCTGTTTCGTTGTTTGTCGAAAATTAAACTTTACCAAGGGAGCCCATTTACCCATGTTTGGCTGCAAAGAGAATATGAAATTACCATGGCCCATTTTCCATGTTGGGCTCATGTGGTGGGTTCACTTTTGATAATTCCATTTATTTTGTTAATTGTAGCCCAACAATTTTATTACATAAGTTATATATGATTTTATTATATTTATCATTTTTTTTTAAAATAAATTTGATAAAATTATATAATTACAATTATTAGATCGAGAGACTAGAGAGAAGTTGGACGTTTTCTCTATTGCTAGTAGTGAGATTGTTGAGAAACCATCTTGAGGGCTCATTTGTTTGTCTGACTCAGAAGGAGGACTGAAGTACGAATGAAATGGGGTCCACGTGTACTTATTTGGTTGATTTATTTGATCCTCGATTGTTACTTCGAGTGAAATGCTACTTCTACACTGTAATGGGATTAACTTTTCCTAGTGGGAGATAAGATTGTGAAAACAATCCAAGGGTTTAGTGTTAGAATTTATTTTATATTATATATATAATTTAATATATAATATATATATGGTGAGTCATTCACCGAATCTTTCTCTTATTATAAAACAATATTATATATATATATATATATTATAAAGATAAATTATATCCTATTTCAAAAAAAAAATAAAAATAAATTATAATATACTATTATTTATAATAATTTTATATAAATACTTAAAATATATAAAAATTTATAAAATCATATAAAATTATAAAGTAATATATATTATTATCATGGTATTATTAATCTAATGGTGCATAAGTAAACACTATTTATTTGATTTTATTATATTTATCATTTATTTTTGGATAAATTATAAATATACCGCTTGAGATTTGCTTAAAATACGAATTGTCTTTTGTAGTTTGGAAAATTACAAATATCTCCCTGTCAGAATTTTTTATTTAACAGAATTAATTGAAAAAATGAAATTTCTAATTATTTATCTATATAATAATAAAATTATCTAAATTATTAATTGAAATGAAATTTCAACATTATTAAAAACTGTTAATTAACTTTATGATTTATTAATAAAATGATCTATTTGTTATGAAATTAAAAATTTTATGGAGCATAATGTAATTTCTAGAAGCATAAGGGGTAGAATTTTTTATTTAACAGAATTAATTGAAAAAATCAAATTTCTAATTATTTATCTATATAATAATAAAATTATCTAAATTATTAATTGAAATGAAATTTTAACATTATTAAAAACTGTTAATTAACTTTATGATTTATTAATAAAATGACTTATTTGTTATGAAATTAAAAATCTTAGGGAGCATAATGTAATTTCTAGAATCACAAGGGGTAATTTGTAATTTAAGTAAATCTTAGAGGGTGTGTTTGTAATTTACCTTTTATTTTTTTTAAATAAATTTGGTAAAATTATATGATTATGATTATGATTATTAGATTGATCAAATTTTTTTTAATAAATAATCTATACATAGACTAAGGAGTTGTTTGGGATGACCTAAATAAGTGCACTTTTTGTCTTTTTACGAAAAGATGTGCAGAAAAGTAGAGAAGTAATGTGATAAAAAAAGATAAAAAGATAAAAAAATGTGTATTTTAAGTAGCCAAACTTAACCTAAAAAAAGTGAATGAACCAAATTATCAAAATGAGACTAGAGAGAAGTCGGACGTTTTCTTTATTGCTAGTAGTGAGATTGTTGAGAAACCATCTTGAGGGCTCATTTGTTTGTCTGACTCAGAAGGAGGACTGAAGTACGAATGAAATGGGGTCCACGTGTACTTATTTGGTTGATTTATTTGATCCTCGATTGTTACTTCGAGTGAAATGCTACTTCTACACTGTAATGGGATTAACTTTTCCTAGTGGGAGATAAGATTGTGAAAACAATCCAAGGGTTTAGTGTTAGAATTTATTTTATATTATATATATAATTTAATATATAATATATATATGGTGAGTCATTCACCGAATCTTTCTCTTATTATAACAATATTATATATAATAATTTTATATAAATACTTAAAATATATAAAAATCTATAAAATGATAAAGTAATATATATATTATTGTCATGGTATTATTAATCTAATGGTGTATAAATAAACACTATTTATTTTATATCTTTAACTTAATACCACCATTTTATTAATTTTTTCATTCAATTTTACCGTACTTATAATTCTATCTAACATAATCCGCCAAACAAACATAACCTAAAAGAAAAAAAAAAAAACTGCTTAGCTCTTTGTTGGTTGTTGAAGTTTTTTAGTTATCTAAAAAAAGTGTCCATAAAATAAAATAAGTGGATCAATTTCATTCTGAAGGTGACTTAGAGCACCACCATCCCTCCCCTTAAATCATTCTCTTACCTATTTTAGGGAGTTGGAGCTCTCTTATGTCACTCCATCAGCTCTCTTATACCATACCCTAAACTAATATTTGCTATAGTGACTCCCTATTATTTACTGGGCTATCTAGCTTACCCTTATTTTTTTTTCAGATTCTGAAGAGTAGAGCTGCGCGGGATCTTTTTTTTACATGTGGGAGTGCCGAGAGTAGGACCATGATTTAAGTACTTGGATTATTGTTTTGTTAGTGGATTAAATTAGTGGATTTGGTGGGCATTTTCATATGAGAACTATTTATTTTTATGGATTCTGGCATTATGACAATTAAGGATTTAATTTGAGTATTTTATTTTGTGGGTTATGTGATTAGATTCTTAGCCTTGCATGCTCACTTATATGAGTGTGTGGCGTTGTCACAGAGCTTGGGGCGTGACATCACTATAGCTCCCTTAATTATTATTATTTATCTATTTATTTATTTATTTGCTTTGCTTTGTTTAGAGACTGCAGTATACATTTATAATTTTTATTTCTTTTAAATTTATTATTAAAAATAATATTTTAATAGAATAGAAAAAAAATTAAGAGTTTGTTAATAGAATAAAGAAAGAATAGAAAGTTTGTTGAGAGAAGTAAATGAAAAAGTGATTTTTAAAATAGAAAATGCATTTTTTAATAATATTTTAAAGTAAAATTTGGGTAATCTAGCAAGGATGTTCTTGCACAATACCAAAATTAGATCTATATACCGTACTCTTCATCTTCTAAACACGTTTATGTATGTTTGATTTGGCTGTGTAGCTTTTGAACAGTGTTATTTACATCAATTAGTGTATTAACTGATAATGTGGCATAATGTAAAAGGTTTTTAATATTTATAATTTGTATAATGAGTGGAGTCAATAATAATGTTATAACTAGTGTTGATAAACTAATTAGTATATTAATTGATACATGTAGCACTGCTGGTAGCTTTTTTGGATCTAAAATAAGTTGGAGACCATCTGTTTATGTCAGCACCCAATAAAACAAATAAAAAAGGAGAGCCCACCATTTGTATCTGCATAGGGTTATCTTGATCATGAAAATTATGTTTGTTTCAGTAGAAGTCAGTAAGTTGAAAATTTCAATTGCTGATTTTGTTGAATTATATTTCTATTTAATAATTATTATTTAGGAGTCATGTGGGTGAAGTTTGATCTAACAGGTTCTACCCGGTTCCCCCCCCCCCCCTCTTCTTTTATTGCAATATCACAAACTATTTCACCTAATTTGTGAAAATTTGTATCTAATCATGAATGTCAAGGGTGCAAAACTTCAAGGATCAATGAATCACATATCTTGTTTCATTTTAAACCATGGAGCGGTTAGAGCGGTTGTTTCTTACTTGGTCAAAAGCAAGGATGATTGTTAATTCTTTCATTTCTCTTTTTTTGCTGGATGTAGATACGATTATAGTTAATGCTTGCTTCTTTAATTATTCTGCAACTTACATTAATTTAAGTTTGTCCAATACGTGTCATGTTAGATCATTCCACTATTTTACCTAATTTGTGAATAAAATATTACTTGTATCCAAATCTTGGATGTCAATGGAATGAGACTTCCAAGGATTAATCAACTAAATATCTGTTCTTTCATTTTAAGAAAAATAGGATATCATATTTGCTACCTTCCATCTGAAAATATTGTATCAACTATTTATTTTATGCTCTATTGCCCCCACTTTCTCCATCAGTGTTAAACTCCAATTGAAGAGAATGAACGTTGTGTTGGAATATGTCCTACATTGCTTAGAGTTGCCCTATTTGTGCTAGTTATAATGTTTCAGTTTCCCTCTTCTTAATATTTGAATTTTAAGGAGAAGTATGAGTTGTGCTTTTTAATTTGATATCAAAGTTTGGTTGGGCCTGTGATTGGTGTGCCATTTGCCTAGCTGCTGTATCTTTGTATCTTGTGGTTCAGGAAGGTGTGTATCTTCGTATCTTGTGGTCCATGAAGGTGTGTTGGAAGGTTTCCCACATCGATGGTGTGTTGTTTGTGCGGCTGCTGTATCTTGGTATCTTGTGGCCCGGGAAGGGAAGGTGTGTTGACATGTGTCCCACATCGATGGTGTGTTGTTTGTCCGGCTGCTGTATCTTTGTATCTTGTGGTCCAGGAGGGTGTGGTGTGTTGGAATGTGTTCCATATCGTTTGGAGTTGCCACATCTATGTTGGTTATAAGGTTCCAGATTCCCTCTCCTTAATATTTAAGTTTAATATGTAGGTTTTAAGGAGAAATGTAGGCTGGACTTTTTAACTCAAGCGGGTTGGGCTTTTCAATTGCGCATCATGCAAATGTTTATCCAATTAAAGCTTCACAAAAAAGAAATTTTAAATGTTGATCAGTTGTTTATGTGTTCAATTTTGATAGATTGTTCTATGACAGATGAAGTTTTATCTAGCAGTCATTCCTCTGACCAGTTATATCTTTTATTATACATCTTTAGGCATTAATTAATTTCTGCTGTACTTTTCAAGTCTAATCCTATCTCACAAATCAAATCTAATTCAATTCATATTGTGGATGTGATGGGTGAAAGACTTTTGAGGATAAAGTAATCAAAATGTTTTCACCTTGTTTTGTTTGAGGGCAGTTAATTTGTGCTTGGTCAGGCTGATTACTTAACTCTTTAATTTTTAATTTTTTAATGATTGTTTCCGTAGCAGAGTGACTAAGCTAATTTCCATGTCAAGGCAACGTATAATTGGTTCATCCTTCCCAAGAGCAACTCTGACTTCATAAAAGAAGTTGCGGTTTTTACTGTGAAGTTTCATCTAGCAGCTTTTTTTTCTAGCCACTTGGGCCTTTACATATTCGCCTTTAGGCATTAATTAAGTTCTCCTGTACTTTTCAAGTGTAAAACCATCCTACTATTTTTATACATTAAACCCTACTTTCATCCAAATTATGGATGCGATTGGTAGAAGATTTTGGAGGATCAAACAACTGAATGTTTCTACTTTGTTCAGTCTTGCAAATGATAAATCCTTCGAGGGTGGTATTGCCTTTTTACATTTTTTTAACTCAACTGGATGGTCAACTTCCCACAACCTCGTCATTAAGCACATTATAAAAAGTCCAGTCTTTATCTGCCTATTTCGTGCTTCTCTTCCAAACTGACCTCATACCGTTGCCTTTGATTAACTGACACGGTCAAACTGCTTATTCATCTCTAATGCCTTTTGATTAACCGGCAGGTTCTACTTTAATTTGTTTTAAAACATGTCCTGTTCAAGAAATTATCAAGTTGGTTATATGTTGGAAAGTCTCTCAGCAGCAAGAAGTTACTCCCCACTGAAATGATGAAGCTTCCACTTTCGAGTCTCAGCCTACTTTTCTCGCTAACCATCCAAGTGATCCTCTTGATCTTGAAACTGTCTTGTATGAAATTTGTTTTCGCTTCCACAGTAGGAAACAACACTGACAAACTTGCATTGGTTGACTTCAAGTCTCAAATAAATGATAATCTCGGAGTCTTGGCCTCTTGGAATGATTCTCTCCATTTCTGCCACTGGGAAGGAGTCACATGTGGCCAAAAACACCAACGAGTCACCAGCTTGGATCTTGTTGGGCAGAATTTGTATGGAACCCTATCACCACAAATTGGAAATCTCTCATTCCTTAGGTCACTCAACCTTGCAAGCAACGCCTTCCAAGGTGGTATCCCCCAAGATGTTGGTCGGTTGTTTAGGCTTACAAGTTTGAACTTGAGCCATAATTTTTTGGGACTTGAAATACCAGTCGACCTGTCTCACTGTTCCAACCTCTTGACTCTTGATTTGGGGTACAACAGTATTTCCCAACAAATTCCTTCCCAACTCGGCTCTTTGTCAAAGCTTGAGATACTGTTTCTCAACAGCAACAATCTCACAGGAAGGTTTCCGACTTCTATAGGCAATCTCTCATCTCTCCAACAGATTTCACTAACATTCAACAATTTGCAAGGAGAAATTCCTGATGAAATAGCCCGGATGACTAAGCTGACAGTGTTTGAGGTGGGGGCAAATAATCTTTCAGGGGTCTTTCCTCCTTCGCTTTACAACCTTTCCTCCCTGCAAGTCATAGTTTTGGCAAAAAATAAGTTTACTGGTGACCTCAGGGCTAACATTGGACATGATCTTCCAAATCTCCAATTATTGTTCCTAGGAGCAAATCAATTTACAGGACCCATTCCAGTATCATTGTCAAATACTTCAGGTCTTCAACAACTTGATATCATTTACAACAATTTCACAGGAAGCATACCAATGAGTTTTGGAAACCTACAGAATTTATCGCGCCTATCTGCTCCAAGTAACCTTCTTGGAAGTGGTACTTTTGATGATTTGAGTTTTATTATTGTTTCTTTGTCGAATTGCAGCAATTTAAAAGTGTTTGACGTGAGCTACAATCAATTCAGAGGTGAGTTACCCTATTCATTGACTAATCTTTCCACTAAACTAGAATGCCTACAATTAGGGGGAAACAATCTGGGTGGGACCATTCCCGTGGAAGTCTCAAGACTCCTTAACTTAAATCGGCTTGGATTAGAGCACAACTTGTTGTCGGGAAGTATTCCTGATTCAATTGGGAAACTCTCGAAATTAAATTTTTTGGAATTGGGTCAAAACAAATTGACTGGGGTTATCCCGTCTTCATTTGGCAACCTAACGCTACTGTTAGAACTCTACTTGTATAATAACAGCTTCCAGGGAAGCATACCTTCAAGTCTTGGCAAATGCAAGTACCTGCAAACCATACACCTTTGCCACAACAAATTCAATGGAACCATACTTGAGTCAATCATTGGTCTTTCACCTACGTTGTTAGACCTTAACATGTCTCACAATTCTTTCACGGGTTCTCTGCCATCAGAAATTGCAGACTTCAGAAATCTTGTCATGCTAGATGTCTCGTACAATATATTGTCCGGTGATATTCCTGGCAGTTTGGGGAAGTGTTTGGCCTTGGAACAACCTTATTTGCAATCCAACTCCTTTCAAGGAACCATTCCTGATTTAGGCAAACTGATGGGTATTCAGTATTTCGATCTGTCGAGCAATAACTTGTCTGGCCAAATACCCATGTACATGGTAAATTTTGCATCGTTGCAAAATTTGAATATATCTTTGAACAATCTTGAGGGTGAGGTACCGGTGCAAGGAGTCTTCAAAAATGCGAGTGCAATTGAGCTCTTTGGCAACAGTAACCTTTGTGGGGGGATTGAAGAGCTACATTTGGGGCCATGTGAGGAACCCAAAAAGCATTTCGCGCTCAAATTAATATTGCTTGTTGTCATCATTTTCGCTTTTTGCTTTGCTCTGATGATGTTTCTAGTTTCACGTTACTGCTTGAGAAAGTTGAAGAACAAAACTATTTCGAGTTCTTCATTTGGGAGAGTATACCCAAAGGTCTCCTATGAAGATCTCCTCAATGCAACCGGCAGATTCTCAAAGAGCAATTTGATTGGTTCGGGTAGTTTCGGCACCGTGTACAAAGGAATCATCTGTCCAGGAGAAACAACAGTTGCAATTAAGGTTCTTAACCTTCAACAGCGAGGGGCTTCTAAGAGCTTCTTGGCTGAATGCCAGGCATTAGGGAACATCTGGCACCGAAATCTTGTCAAGGTTCTAACTGCTTGCTCTAGCATTGATTTTGAGGGAAATGAATTCAAAGCTTTAGTATATGAGTTCATGCCAAATGGGAGCTTGGAGAACTGGCTTCATCCAGAAGAAGAACAAGAGAAATGGAGAAATATGGATCTTCTCCAAAGAATCAATGTTGCAACAGATGTGGCGTTGGCATTGCATTATCTTCATAATCAGTGCCAAGCCCCAATAGTTCACTGTGATCTAAAACCAAGCAATGTCCTTCTTGACGATGATCTGACAGCTCATGTAAGTGATTTTGGTTTGGCAACGATCCTCTTGAGATCTAGTAAAGATGCTATTCTAAATCATTTTAGCTCAGCTGGAATCAAGGGAACTATTGGTTATGTTGCTCCAGGTAATGGGTTTCTTCTTCTTCTTCTTCTTCTTCTTCTTCTTCTTCTTCTTTTTTCTTTTTTTTTTTTTGTGATTAGTAAATTTATTTTATGAAGAATTTTCTTTTTGCAATTTTGGGTGAATGAGTTTTATGGAATTTTTTTTATATTTATTTTTGGTGCAGAGTATGGCATGGGAGGTCAAGTGTCAACTCGTGCAGACGTGTACAGCTATGGGATCCTCTTGTTGGAGATGTTCACTGGAAGAAGGCCAACAGATGGACTATTCAAAAATGATTTGAACCTTCACAAATTTGTTAAAGCGGCTTTGCCAGGGAGAGTAATGGAGATTGTGGACCGGTCTATGGACAGTAATGAGATGGCAGAAATCAAAAGTAGTGAACATAGTGAATGTTTGATTTCTATATTTCAACTAGGAATTGCTTGTTCAGCAGAATCCCAAAGGGAAAGAATGGACATGAGAGAGGTAGCCTCGGCACTGGTTTTGATCAGAGAGGGATTCCTCCAATCCAGAAAACATGAACACTGCCCAGAGAGACAAGGTATGACTTGAGAGTTGAATCTATATATGGTAATTGCAAGTTACTAACAAAGGTAGTCATCGAATTCCTGATTTATATGTTTATGTATATGCTGTATGCAGGAGCTCAAGTATCTCAAATTCGTGTGAAGGAGACCTATCCTTGTGAAGATGGTAGGCAACATTTGCATGATGCATTGCAGTTATATCAGGAAAGCTGACTACTTGTAGTTGTACCATGTTTCCTAGATTTTCATCTTCATCTTCATCTTCATCTTCTACCATGTAAATCAGAAAAGCTGAGTACAAGATTTTGATCTTCATCTTCAATGTAACTGAGGCTTCATTGACGGATTTTGTTGAGCATTGCTTGTGAGGTTATCTTTTTATTTTTTATTTTATATGCAAAAGTCAATTGTTAGAGCATCTCCAATGGTTGTTGCTATATTGGGGTTGCTATTGCTATAATTTGACAATGAATAGAGCATTGCTTGTGAGGTTATCTTTTTATTTTTTATTTTATATGCAAAAGTCAATTGTTAGATTAACTTCTAGGGAGCTAAAACCTAAAGCTAGCATAAGACTAAGGAGTCACGTGCTCCCCTAAGTTTCTAATATTTATACTATTACCCTTATATATAAAATGTATATCTTGCTTATCCTGTGTAAAACTTAATCAATGTAAAGTTTCTTTTTATTTTAAAAATACTCTATTATATTTTTTTGGCCATTTTTGAATACTCTTAACTAGGAAGTTAACACAAAAATTGAATCAATTGAGCATTTCGTTATCATTAAGGTGTTTGTTTAGTTGATTTTTTTTTTCATTGCAGAGCTCTTTGTTAAGTTGATAGTGTTGGATTTGTTAATCATAGATTCAGTTGGGTTGTTGATTGTTGATTTATGAGTCACATTAATATAATATTTTTCATGATTTATAAGTCTCACCAATTGCACATGCAAAAAAAGTAATAAACAAAATAAAAATATCTTATTGTTGCTTATTGTGTTTTTTTTCCCCTCAATATGGTAACTAATATGTGCCCTAATTTTGGCTCCTTGCTTGCAAGCACTTTTAATGCTGCCTCCATACTACTAAAAAGGCCATGGGCTTGGGGTACTCTCTATTGTAAAAACAGCCAAGTGTATCCAATATTGAATGTGTACCCAAAAAAAAATACCATGAAATAAGCGATTTCCTTGTGATTATTGCAACATTATTAAAATATGGTAACTTTAATAACTTCATATTTTTTGAGTTATAATTAAAAAAAAAATAAAAAAAGTCATAAGTAAATATAAAAAAGTCTAGGCTCTGTGATGATGATGGTGTGTGAGACACAACAGGGGTCACTGTTCACACAATGTACAAGGAATTATCTGCGAATAATGTTGGCAATCGCAACTGCTATACTATAATGATGGGAAATTCTATAGCATATTTTGTTTAAAAAATGTATGGTACATAGAAAATTAATGGCTAATATTGAGCCACATCATTAAAAGTTACCTCATAAACAGGTCACCTTTTATAGTTATGAACCAAAATCATATTTGTTCATAACTAGAATCAAATTGATCATAACTTAGTTATGAGCTCCCATCACATATGTTATAACCATATCACATAACCAACACCATTCTACTCATAACCAATATCACATATTTCATAACCGTAATCACATATATCATAACTATATCTCATAACCAATACCCATATCTCATAACCAATACCCTTTACCTTATAACCACACCACTTTGATTATAACCAATATGATATATCTCATAGCCATTAATCACATATCTCATAACTACTACCCATATAGCTTATAACCACATCTTATAACCAACCCCCTTTTGACTCATAACCAACATCGCATATCTCTTAACTAACACTCTTTTGCTCATAACCACACCACTTTGATCATAACCAATATCACATATCTTATAACCAATAATACCAAACACCCTTTTGACTCATAACTACACCACTTTGCTCATAACCAAAATCACATATCTCATAATCATTAATCATATATTTCATAACCATCACCCACATATCTTATAACCAACACTCTTTGGCTCATAACTAACATCACACATGTGATATCTCTGTTCCGTAATATGTTAATTGGTCCTTAAAATGAGTATGATTATGTGTTTAATATGATTTTGCATGCCATTATGTGAAAATATGTGGTTTTGAATTTTTATCTGTTCACCGTAGAAATATCTGTTTGATTAGCTGCTTTGGAAATCAAATTGAAGGCACTATCGGCCACTGAAATCGAAATTGGTCGTGCCATTGTGATTGGCATAATTTTTAGAGCCTACGGTGAAATTTAATTGAAAAATTAATTCGGACCAGATTAAATTGATTAAATTAATGAATTAAGTTCCCAAATGTTTTATATTGAAACAATTGTGACTAGGGGGACTTTAAGAGAGGCACTACACCCTCAACATCTCTCCTTTGTTACATTTTGGGGCTGATTTCAACTCTAAGAAAAGAGAGGGGGGTCGGCTAGAGAGAGAGGGAGAAGCAATTGGAGATTTGAGTGAGGAACTTGAGAAACTTGGAGATTCAACTAGAAATTGTGAAGAATTGAATCTCTAGGTAAGCACTTGACCCTGAATTCATAAGTTTGAAATTGTGATCTTGTAAGTTCAAGGGTTGTTTGTGATCAAGAGCATGTATTGAGTTGGTTTTTGTTGAATTGGAAGACTATATATGCGTGCATGTATATAATTCTCTTGAATTTACATAATTGAGCTTGAATTACATGACTCATGTTGAATTTTGGTTGAAATCCATGTATTTGACCATCTTTTCATCATATGGGATGGGAATGAGGGTTATATGTCACATGTATGTACAATCCATGGGAGTAGAAGCTTTGAATGCATGAAGTTGTTATGTTAGTAATGAATTTGGTGGAAAATGAGCCATGCATGGGTTTGCTTTATGAAATTGAGCTTCAAAATGTTGTAATTTAGTGTTTGTACCATGTTAGTGCATATATATATGAAGTTTGAGTCAAAATCATGCATTTGGAGCCTTTGAGTTTGAAGTTGAAGTTCAAGATCGTATTTTGGATTTTCTAGAATTTCGATGTCCGCTCGAGCGGGGAAACCGCCGCTGGAGCGTGAAATTCGTGCTCCCAGTATCTTTTTGCAAACATGGCGTCCGCTTGAGCGGGAAAGTTCACGCTCGAGCGGGGAGCCATGTAGAGAGGCCTTTCGCTCGAGGGTCAAAATTCACACTCGAGCATAAATTTCACATAACCAGTACTTTTGCAAGCCTCAAGGGTCCGCTCGAGCGAGGAATCCCACGCTCGAGCGGAGACCCTGTTTCTGAAAATTTTGTATAATCGTTCTGTGTTTCGTTTTCCGTTCTCTTTCACTTGCAAGCACTCTTAGGCATGCATTAAGCATTGTAATTGAGTTGAAGAGATAAGAATGAAGCCTAAAGAGGAATATGTGAATTAAAGAACGGATTGAATCGTTTGTGACCCATATGTGTTATATGATGTGTAGGGTCAAGCTTTAGGGCAAATCCACAAGCCGATCACTATGAGTAATATCGATATTTTGAAGATTGTCAATTGTCCAATTGCTTATTTCTTTACAAGTTTACTAGTTTGAATCATGGACAACCGATTGACATGAATGGTTGGGCCGAAGGCCGATTGACATGAATGGTTGGGCCGAAGGCTGATTGACATGAATAATTGGGCCGAAGGCCGATTGACATGAATGGTTGGGCCGAAGGCCGATTGACATGAATAATTGGGTCGAATGGCGATTGCATGAATGATTGGGCCGAAGGCCGATTGACATGAATGACTGAGTCGAAGGCCGAATGACATAAATGATTGGGCTAAAGGCCGATAGATATAAATGATTGGGCCAAAGGCCGATAGATATAAATGATTGGGCCAAAGGTCGTCTACTGTAACTGTTTCAATGATTACTTATGTATCTTCCTCATTTGATGTTATTCAGTGGGCAATCGCTCATGCTCATTCGTGTACATGTAAGTGAGCCAAGGGACGTCCAAAACCAGCCCCGGTGAAATTGTGAGAAACAATCGAAGTTTTGAAGAGTCAGCCCAAACGTCTCACGCATGAGACCCGTCTTCGCCCTTTTTGTTGTCTTGTTATTTTGTCATGTTGGTGAGGACTTTGCATATACCTGTATATAGTTTTGATGGGTTGACTTAGACTTATATAATCCTGTCTGTACAGAACTTATGCCACTGTATAAATTTGTGAGTTATTAATGTATATATGTTGGTTGTTTGGATGTCCTATATAAGCATAGCTTTAAGGACAAAGGTTTGAATTGCTTCCGTTTGGCCCCATTACTCTGATGAGTTTTGCTTTATTTGCTTTGAGGCTGTAGGTAATCTCATGATTACTGACCGGTTATGGTCTTAACCCATAGGGGCGGGTTCAGGTCATAACATCATAACTATTAATCATATATCTCATAACACCCTTTCCTAATTTTGATTGCAAAAGATAACATAGAACATTGTATTTTTGTCAAAGTCAACCCTTAACTAGTAATGTAGTTTTGCATGGGCTATGAAATGTCATTTTGATCTCTAACTTAACATCAAGGAGAACTGCATGATCAATTTTAAATATGATTATGCATAAAGCTTGTCAGTGCTAGAATGCAATTCTAGTTAAATTTGTTAATTCCTTAGAGAAAAGCAATTTGAGTTTTTGTTTTATTTAATGTCCAAATGGAGTCAAAGTACAGGATAGAGCTGCAAAGAATACAAATTAATGAAGCAAGTGTGCAAATAAGCTCAAATCTCACACTAGATCATGGTTACGAAAACAATGATGTGGGGCCACATGACTGTTGATGGGAATTGCTGAAGCAAAGCATAAAATTTGGATGTGCTCTTGACTTGAATTATGTGCAATCAATGTTAGAATGGCATTTTGGTCTTGGGTAAGCTTCCAAGTTGCATCATAGTCTAAGTAATTGAGTTGGAGACTTGACTTTGAAATCGAGTCTGTGCACAAGTGTCAGTCACATTATGGAAATCATTGAAGTTCAGATAATTTTCATGGTTAATTTTTTAGCGTTCCATATTTTCTTTTTTTTATTGAGCTGGAGACTTGACTTTGAAATGGAGTCCATGCACTAAAAGTCTTGAGTTATATTACGGAAGCCATTCAAGTTTAGATAATTTACATGGTTAATTTTTTAGGATTTAGGATTTTTTATCCCATTTTTGGGCAAATTACAAACACCCTCTTGAGGTTTGGTGAAAATACAGATTCTCCCTAAGGTTTGAGAAATTACAAATTGTCTCCTAAAGGTCAAATTTTCATAACAAATTAGGAAAAATTAGGGGGGAATCTGTATGAAAATAAAAACCTCATGGGGCAATTTGTTATGGAAATATAAATCTCAGGAGGCGGGATGTAATTTCTCAAACCTCAGGGGGGAATCTGTATTTTCACCAAATCTCGAGAGGGGTGTTTGTAATTTGCCCTTTATTTTTTGATCATTTGTGATATAGTTCCTCATTTTTTTCATATGCTTATTGAGAGGGTAATTTTTGGTAAAAATTGGGCCGAGCTGCGAAGATGGACTTTATGGCCCAAAGTACGAAGGACAGGATAAAAAGGCCCAATGGAAATGTAAAAGTTACTCCGGTCCAAGAATAAGAAAGTTACTCC